AGGAAAATCCTAGGACAAACAAATACACCATAAAAAAGCCTGCTATAATACCAGTTTAGCAAAGAAACCTCATTCAGCCCTGTCCACGCCAAATCGTCCCACTTTTGAGCATTTGGTCTCGAGGTATTTGAGAAGTGAGAACTAATTATAAAATGCATTGTATAAGCTGGAAAGGTCTATAAAGTTGCATTCCAAAAAACCAATGCTGATTTTATCAAGGACACAAATATAACCACATAACATGGAACAGCACATCAAAGAGCATACTAGCTTTATTAGAACAATTTCTATGCAAAAGGTCCACATTATAAGTACCAAATATATGTATTCTTCGGTATAATTTCAGAAGGATCAGGAAAGGGATTTGTTTATTTTTTAAGTTTACATAAGTATATTTGGTATTCAACAAAAAAATATTCTCCTGGCAACTGTCCCTCCATATACTGGGGCAATCATCAGATGGGGTGAAGTCACACAGGATCTGGCCTATGCCACCTTTGAGGAAGGTGGGAATCATTAGCTAGATCCAAATAACAGTAGTTTAATCACAGAAGATCTGGACGTCACTAAGAGCAGGAGACCAAATCCCAGCAGATGCAGAGCACGTGTATTCCAAACCAGAGCGGCAGGTATTTATTCCATTTTTCACATTTAACAGTGCTACTCCTTGTCCCACCAGAGCAGGTTCCCAGTAGCACACCAAACATACTGCCTTCGCTCATTTTCCCCTCTTAAGGAATGCTGGGATTTCCTTCAGGCAACCTACAGTGAAAATCACAAAAGCAAAACTAAGGGTACTAAGACAGGGACCTAATTTTCTTCATTAAAAAAGTCCAGCTGTTTACAGCACAGTGAGTCTGACTTCCCTGTTTCTCTCTGTGATATATCCAAAGAGTCCTTGTCTGCCCTGAGAATCTCAATGAAATTATCAGCGGGCTTTACAGCTAATCAATTTTTTAAAAATCCTGTAATTCTTTTATGTGCATTACCTTTTTCAGAGTTGCAAGCATGAAAGACAATCAATTAAAGGTTTAAGTTTCTAAGGAAATACTGGGCATTAGAAGCAGCGTGCAGCCAAACTTAGTCCTTTCAGGATGTGCAGAATCAATATCCTCAGATCACTGCATTAACTCATGAGATAATGCACAAAATGTTCTGAAAGTCAGCAAATCTACTGCACTTCGGTTCCTTTGTGAGAAGCAATTCCTTATGAATGAGCCTCCTTTTCTTTTACAAAAAGGGGAAATTGCTACTTGTTTTCAGATCCTGGGTCTGAAAATCAAATCAACTAAAATATTGCGGGACAATTTCAGGATGATGCGGAAAGGTTGGAACTGTTTCAGACGGCTGGCTGTCACGTCACAGACCTCGCTCTGCCCAGCGCCTCACCTGAAGTGACTGGAATTGCTAATCCTAACACATCATGAACACGCACACAGATATGTATATAAACATCTATCTGTGTATGTGCGTGCACACATATAAATACGAAACAGCTACATTCCTCTGCTGAGAACGAGCTAAAGACCTTCATCTCCAGAAACAAGGCCTACTTGGGTTAAAAGCAAAAAAAAATTGTGCAATGGTTAGAGCAAACCACTAGGGGAAACAGAGTCACACGCATTAAGCCACTATCCATGATGAGAACTGGGAACTGTGAGTGACACATGTAATCCTGCGAAAGCTGGTGCCAAGGAATCATCGAATGAAGGGCCTGAGACTTCAGCTTTGAGGCTCCAACCCGAGAACAGCAAGAACAAAGAGTGCACTGAATTTTTGCATATTTGCGCACTAGTTATTGATTACCTGTGTGCAAGTTAAGCTAGTGCTCAGATCTCTGCAGGTTTGGTGCTTCTCTTTTAAACTCAGCAGTACTAGCATGCTGTATGCTTGGGGGTTTTTTTGTTGGTGGGTTGTTTTTTTTTTGCTATAAGACATTGACACTTCACCATTTTGCACGCATGACTGGCTCTGTGAATAAAAATAGCTTCACTGTTTTCAGATCTGTCTTTGGGACTACTCGCCATACGCAGTGTGTACACCTGTACTTGAGCACTGGCACATAAATTGGTGATTGCACTACTGACCGACAGATCTAAAAACGGTATTAGGAACTTTCCAGTTTGAACACTATTTATATACCCAGTATAAACACTGATAAACAGTCTAACAGACCTTTTCCCCCTGTGTATAGGCAGGCACAAAGAGTTCTTCACCTGTTTTTGACTTTGCTATGTGGAAGGAAGTGATTTTTCTCTCTCCACAGCGAAGCAAAATTAAGATCCTGTCTTCTGTTCCCCAGGTATTTTAACCTGCGCTCGTCCCGCACAGCTGAACCCCGTGGATTTCCTTCCTGACACGGAGTCTCCAGCCCGCAGGGTAGGGCAAACCTCTCGGGATACCCAGCTCGGTCCTCGGCACATCCACGGCCGCGACGCCCGGTGCCCCTTCCCGTGGGGTTAAGCCCGGAGGGGGGAAAATCGCGGGGAAGGCCCGTGGGCTCCCTCCCGCCCTC